TGTTATTGAATCTCTCGGGAACAATAGTGCATGAATAGACTTTGTAGCACTTCCAAAGTTTTACCAATACGGTCATTAGGAAATGTCTCCTTCTGTCACTTCTGCTATAAATTAAATCCATTTTTTCCATCATTCACTTAGTGAACAAAATAACGTATTGATGAATAGAAGAACATTGCCTCATGTTATAAAAAAAATAGTTCTTCATACATTACAAGGCAGAAACTATATTTCTGGGACTATTAATTTTCCAAGTTCATAACTTTTTAGCTCTATTAAAAAGCTAAATAAATATACACTTTAATCTCCAACCTGGCTAATGAATTAATAAACATAATATTTGTTAGTAAAACATTCTATGCAAGGACTTTTGATGAGCATGTGCACAACTTTGGTTTCAGATATTCTCTCAAAAGTAGCCTGCTTTCATAAATTTTTGAGCATCAAACCGCTTGAATGTTGAACCACAAAGGGGGCTTATCTCTGAGTTCCTGTAAGTTATATCTGTTTGCTAATGCAGCTTAGTATCATGTCTACTGATTTTTAAACAATCTTTTTCTTACAAAGGTGATACATATACAGTAAAGTTTAGCAAGCCTGTAATCCCAGCACTTTGGGAGGCCGAGGTGAGAGGATTGCCTGAGTCCAGGGATTCGAGACCAACCTGAGTGACTTGGTGAGACCACGTCTCTACAATAAATCAAAAAATTTGCCAGGCGTGGTGGTGGTGCACACCTGTAGTTCTAGCTACTTGGAAGGCTGAGGTGGAAGGATGGTCTGAGCCCAGCAGGTTGAGACTGTGGTGGCCGTGAGCATACACTGTATTCCAGCCTGGGCGACAGAGACTCCAACTAAAAAAAACAAAAACAAAAACAACCAGAAAACTTAGATGAGCCCAAAATGTAATTCTGTCTTTAACTGATAGCCACTATGATCATTACAGTATATTTTCTGCCAATATTAGCTTTTTAAAAAAAATCAGTATTGTTTTATAGCTTCCTTTCCAAGCTTAATAAATGCACTTAGTCAACATCTTCTTATGCCTTTAAATATGTTTTTTCAGCATATTTTTGTTCACCTATTAATCAGGTATTTGCTATTTTTTCCATTTTTCTTCAATATAAACAGAAAAAGTACACATTCCTATTGTTACAATTTTATTAATATTTGTGATTTATTTTGTTAGGCCAGTGGATCTTAATCCCATGCACCAAAATCACTTGTGGTGATGGTGGTTTTAACACACATACCTACTGTTGAAGGAGTCTAAATCTATATATTAATGAGGATAACACTAGCTACTATATAAAGCAATCAGAAAACAGGATCTTATTTACTGTGCACATAGCAGTCTAATGTTGGCTATTCTGGTAGATAAGTGCAAGAATTTCCTTCTCATGGATATTCAGGGATCCAAGTTCCTTCCGCTGTGTGGCTTAGCTATTCCTAAGGGCCCTGGATGCCTCTGCAAACAAATAGGAGGTAGGGAACAAGAAAGAGCCCACCCACATCCCAACCACATTGTGAACTTCTTGGCCTAGAAATGGCGCGCTATTTGCATACTATTAGCAAGAACTAGTTACATGCCTCCAGGCACCAAGCAAGGAATGCTGGGAAATGTAGTCTCAGGCTGGGCTGCTACCTTTCTCTTGTCAAGAGTTACTGCATTGTGTTGGAGCAAAAGCAAGAATCTTGGGGGGCGGTAAGATATGCCTGCTACATTTGGTAAAGCCATTTTGGAAAGCAGTTTGTCAATATCCAAGCTTAATATGACAAAGAAATTCCATTTCTAGATATTTATCCTACAGAAATCCTTTCACAAGACTAGAAGGAAGGATTCCATACAAGAATAGTCATTGTCTTATTATTCATAGTAAAAAATATAAAAATTATCTTAAGTATCTACCAAGTTTCCACAATAGAGATCAAAATATTAGCTAGATCTGAATATGCTAAAATAAAAGAATAACTATAATATATGTTATTGAGTGAAAAAAAAAAACAGACCAGAAAAAATATGTCCAGTGTGATTGCCCACAGGGAGTGAGGGGAGGGAGTGGAAAATGGTGCTTTCACTAATTTTTTATTTTTTTATTACTTGAACTTTTAAAAAATAAACCCAAATTACATCAATGTTTTAAAATAACAGATTCCCAGACCTGACCCAGAATCTCCAAAAAATGGCCCAGAAGTCTATAGTTCATAAAAGTTTCATAAGTGATCCTGATGGACTGCCAAAGTTGAGACCACAGCCTCAGAATAAATTTCTAAAAGTGGAATTGCTGTGTCAAAGTGTATAAAAAATGTTATGATTTTTGATAAAAATTACCAAATTGTCCTTTAGTAATGTACCAATTCAGATTCCCACTAGCAGTGTGTAAAAGCTCATTCTATCATCAACACTGAGTGGCATAAAGTGCTTTCCTCCTTGCCAGTTTGACAAATGAAAAATGGTATGTCTGTTTGATTCTGACAGAAGCGCTGGTGTGTTGCAGTTGGTTCTCTTTGGAGGATGCTCTGTCCCATCTGTCTTTCCATTGAATTGTAGAGATAGAGTCATCTCCCCCTCCTCAATTTGTGTTTTACTATAACAATCACTTGGGGAGCTTATTAAAAATGCCAATTTCCAGCCCCCACTTCTAATTCTGATGGTACAGGATGGAGGTGAAATTTGGGAATGTGGGTAGGAGACGTAGGGTTGAGTTTTCATAGCAGGGACACATCTCAGGCAGAAGCATCAGAAGAAAAATGAGCCATGGTGAATTTAGGATAGAGGCAGCATATTCCTACAGCAAAGCAGAGTCTGTTCATTTCTTGCTGTGCTCTCCTTCCAGGATGTAGGTCCTCTCTCCTCCCACTATCTATCAAGTTCCAGCCCACGTCCTGTGCTATACATCATTAAAATTCACATTGAGTTTTTCCTGCTCTGCACTCCCAAAACACTTAGTGTCCAAACAACTCATCCTGACACTTAATCAGATGTCATAATTACTGCAGATAGATGAGACTCAACTTACAGTAATAAAGACACAATCTAATGAAAACTGTAGAAGTATTATTTAGGACAGGGAGGAATGTCCTGGGATAGCCTGAAAAATAATCCTGCCCTAAATTACATTTCTGTTGGCACTAAATTAGAAGCAATGGCAACTCCTTAGAAGGTGAAATTTGAAGTCAGATTAGCATTAAAGAATGGGAAACTTGTGCTTCTCTGCTAAAATAAAAGATTGTTTTTTGTCTTCCAAGCTGGCAAAGATGAAGAACCCTTGTTACCACTTCTGATTGACTGTGGACTGAATAGATCAGGTGATTCATATTATCAGACAAGTCGGGGAAAGAATGTTCTTCAATCAGTGTTCACAACATTGTCTGTTTATTAGAATCTATGGAGACACATTTAAAAATTAGTCAACCCTGCTCCAAAGATTCTGTTTCAACTGGATTTTTTTTTAAAGTTCTTCAGGTGACCATAAGATATAGCCAAGATTGAGATGCATTACTCAAAGTCATGCAAAAAATTTACATGTAGATTTCACATACGAAGGGGCACTCTCCAAAAAAATGGAATTATGTTTTGGAGGGTAGAACCCTTGTAGTACAGTCTTCCTTGCTAGGTGAGGGTTCTAGAAACCCATCAGCATCAGTGTACCAGCTAGCATTGTTGTGAGAAACTGCGTTGAGCTCCAGTGAATTTTTTTTTTTTTTTTTTGAGATTCTTGCAATGCATTTGCCCATTTTATGATGGGTGATTTACAGGTGTAAATCAAAAAACTACACTGAGTGTTCAGTGGTTTTTGACCAAAAAACAGCAAGACCTCCATGCCCCACACTTCCTATTCACCCAATCTCTGTCTTGTTTATTTGTTTCCTTGGATGAATAAAGTCCTCAAAGGGAAACATTTTGCCAATGTAGAAGAGGTGAAAAAGAAAACAGCAGAAGCACTAAAAGGCACAAAAAAACAATACTCAAGCAAATTTGAAGGTGACTGAAGTTTAGATGTGTGAGAATAAATACGGAATTTTTTATAAATAAATTCTAGGTCTTTTGGGTGGTCCCCCCTCATATATTTCATTATTCTTTGCCACTCCAAAAGGTGGAATGTTTGAGTTGCTTTTTTAGTGGTAGGGATGGAATCCCAAAGATTGATTTACTATCCACTAGAAGCCTCTTGCCATTCTTGAGAAGTCTGAGTAAATTTACTGCCAGTCATCTGTTCATTCAACAAGGATGTGTTGAGAAGGTTCTCTGCCAGGACCATTTCTGATGTTGGATACAACAGCAGACAAGACAGAAGTATCCCCTTCCTGAGACATGTGTAATCTACCAAAGAAGACAGATATAAAACAAGTAATTTCAAAAATTACACTGAAGCTGAGTCTTTGAGTGGGGTTCACTTGTGTTCTGCTTTAAGCAAGAAGGTTAACTGGCATGGACTGTTTCCCAAATATGTCACCTCTGTCTAAATTGCGTGCAGTATACTATTAAAACAAGCCTTCTAAATCTAGAAGTTTATTCCTTCTCATTTATTGTAAATCTATATTGATTTTCTTAGAGGTTTTTTTTTTTTAGACTACTTAGAGATATTTTTTTCTAACCTAAAGTAATATTTCTCAACTTTCCTTAGTCCATTTTATTAAGATAACTGAACTGATTCTTCTTGATCCAAACTGTAGCTTGCAAAGTAGTTGCACAGTAACAGGACCAGTTGACAAGAGCATGAGTCCAGGTCAGAGGATGATGTTGGGTGACATTTCCATGGGTCCTCGGCTTGTGCAGAAGGCATTGCAGAGTGAGTCGCAAAGAGAAATCTGAAGTATAGTTTATTAGAAAAAAAAGAAAAATAAATGACATGTTCAAGAGAGAATGTGGGTAGCTTTAAGGGAAAGGGTACATGCTTGCTGTTAGCAGAAAGCTTTATATAGTGCCCAAAATGAAGGTTAAGCAACCTATATTCTAAGCTAAATTTTGATCACAAGCTTTAATTCTTTCTTTCTTTTTTTTTTTTTTTTAGTTCATGTCTTTTATTAACTCATACACAATTACTTGTCTTCTGGTTTGTTGAAGCAATAAGTCAGACAACATTTGCCACCATAATATCTGTCAAAGTGACTGGCCATAAAAACTCCGGCACCACATTTATCTGAAGGACACTCTCGACGAGGGGAACTAATTTTGCCATTCTCATCCACCTTATAGTTCTTCAGGACAACCAGCTTAAGCTTTTTTCTCTTATGCTTATTCTTCTTGGTGTAAGACTTCTTCCTTTTCTTTTTCTTTTTGGTTTTTTTTTTTTGAGTTGGAGTCTCACTCTGTCACCCATACTGGAGTGCAGTGGCCGCTCCCAGCCACCGCAGCCTCGACCTGCTGGGCTCCGGCGATCCTTCTGCCTCGGCCTTCCAAGTAGCTGGAACTACAGGTGTGTGCTACCACGCCCGGCTAATTTTTGATTTATTGTAGAGATGAGGTCTCACCAAGTTGCCCAGGTGTCTCGAACCCGCGGGCTCAGGCAATCCACTCACCTCGGCCTCCCAAAGCACTGGGATTATAGGCTGATCCACCGAGCCTTTTCTTAGCACCACTAACGAAGTCTCAACACAAAATGAAGGGCAGACTCCTTTTGAATGCTGTAGTCAGACAGTGTACGTCCATCTTCCAGTTGCTTGCCAGCAAAGATTTGTTTTTGCTGATCAGGAGGAATTCCTTCTTATCCTGGATCTTGGCCTTTACATGTTCTATTGTATCCGAGGGTTCAACCTCAGGAGTGACAGTCTTCCCTGTAAGGGTTTTCATGAAAATCTGCATCTTGGAGGTGGTCCCACTGCAGATGGTGGATCAAAAAAGGAAGAGCACCGCACTGGGCCACAACAAACTTCCATTCTTCTAGGTTTACTTCTAAGCATGCTTGTGTCACAAGTTTTCTTTTAGAGCACCATAGCTCAGTGTCCCTTGTAACATCCTACTGTCCTGTTCTGGTTCTTGTCACCAGCCATCCTATATTCCGTGGTTAGGCCTGGATCTCAGTCAGTGTGTAGTTGTTTAAAAGAGTAATGTCTCGTGCCCAATGCCTGACCACCTGGTTTCCTAATTACCTAAACCTGCCTGTGAGAAACTCACTGTCAAGATCTAAGCTATGCTAGCTGTCCTGCCTCAAAGGTAGCAGGTGACATGACTGCAGAGAAAGGAATACCACATCATAGGTCTAAAAGCATTGCACTATCAGACCATTTCCCTCTTGTCTGTACCAGTGGATGACGGGTACATGTGGTCTTTGCTTTAAATTGGGAATGGAAACCATGGAAGGGCACCATTGACTCTGTCACTTATGGCCCTTACCAAACCATTTCGTGTCATGAGTAGAGCACATTCCAAGCAAATGCAATTTTTCTGACAATCCAACCGCATTCTAAGTTTTTTCCTATTATCATAAGTTTCCTTTCCACCAAATGCCCCATTTGACTAGATCTTTACTCCTGCACAATTTAAACAGTACTGTACAATAGATACAGTTTTATCTGGCCTTTGTCAGGTAACCTACGTGAGTAGTCAAAAAAGGACCTAACATTTAGAATCATAGCATATTTTTGGGCCACAAAATTGATGTGTGTTGATGATTAGAATCACGGCATAATGTATACAAGAAGATGCACAATTTATCAAGGGCTTTTCCACTGTCTGTGCACTGGTAGAAAGTCAATATCTCTGAAGACTTGAGGTCATGTACCATCCTGATATCCCAAGATATTAGATACAACCTAAGATGCTCATTGGAAACAGAGCTGTAACCTATTGTGATTTTGCTTCCGTGAGAGCAGCTATCTGTCTAACTGGATCAAACGAGACACCACAGAAATGGCCCATAAGCTTTCAGGGAATCTGGTAAGAGAGCTTCAAGACCAAAGCACTTGAGCTTTTGAAGGTATTGGCGCATGATTGACAGGTGATGTCTGGCACAGAAGAACCAGGCAGAGGGACAAGCGGATGATGGAATCCAGCCCGTAACCCCTCCTGAGAAGCTGTGTGTCCCAGTGAGAGACTGCCAAGGCTGCTTCAGTGTGAATTGTGTGAAGTCTCCTTATGGGGTAGCCACGGCCTTTAGTCTCTTGTCTGCTGGTGAAGGCCTTCCCCTTCCTTAGCTGAGACACATCCAGTTCTTTGAACACCTGCCTGACATCAGAGGCAAGACATGACCACTAGTGAGGAGGGCACTGCTCGGAAAAAGGGAGATTCCAGTGTAGAGAGAAAAAACGCAGCACGGGAATGAGGTCAGAACTCATGCCCCGTCCAACGTCAGGCCTGTCTGTGTGTGGCTGGGAAATGGCCTCACCAGCCAGCCAGGAGCTCTGAGAATAGAGCAGGCCCTTTTGCTTCAGCGAGTCCTCCGTGGGTGAGGAGGCTGCTGTGTACATACTGGTAAGAATTCTTGTGAGCATGTGGTGGAAGCATAGAAGTAAAAGGAAGACCTTCCTCGTGCTGAGTTTGGGATGAAGTCTGGATTTCAAACTGAACTTAAATATATATATATCCTTTCTGCCATCCTGCGTGATGTCATGAAGAAAAACTAAAGGACGCAACCCAGATTGAATTTGAATCCTCCGTCCGAGCGCAGATGCAGTCCCACTTTTGCCAGGCAGCCCTTCCTCACTTCCAAAGGAGAATTATACTCTTCTCTGAGCTCTGAGCAATAGCATTGTCCATCGCTCATAGAGCAGACACCTCACAGTTACTTACGTGTCTATGCTTTCTATTCGTTTGGGAGGTTTTGAGATCGCATGACCAGGAATCACTTTGGCAAATGGGCTCTTGGTGAATGAATTGTTGATGACTTGACCGGGAGGTAGAATTATATTTCTTTATACTTTGGGTCTCTAGTAACTGGCTCACACCGGTAATCCCAGCACTTTGGGAGGTTGAGGAAAGAGGATTGCTTGAGGCCAGGAGTTCAAGAACAGCCTAGGTAACATAGCAAGACCCCGTCTCTACAAAAAATACAAAAATTTGCTAAACGTAGTGCCATGTGCCTGTAGTCCTTGGGGGTGGAGGCTGGAGGATCGCTTGAGACCAGGAGGTGGAGGCTGTGCTGAGCTATGATTACACCACTACACTCTAGCCTGGGCAACAGAGCTAGACTCTGTCTGTTGTCTAGCACATAGTGGGTGCTCCCTACGAGTTGGGAGAATTGAACAACAGATATTTTATCTATTTATAAAAGTAGCTCAATTGCATGCTTTTGTAAAAAGAAAATCAAAATATAGAAAATTGAGGGAAAAAAACAAATTTACCTTTTTAATGGCACAAACTAATGTGCATCAGTACGTCCATTCGGATACAACAACAAAAACATAGCACTAGGAATCGTCTCATTGCCATGACTTCCGTAAGATGTTTTGCTTATGACAACACATAAACAAAAACATATGGAATTTGCCTGTGGGGGCAGAACACACCTCTCCACTGCCCCAGCAAAAGCTCTCTGTGGCTGCTACGCTGAACTGGAAGCAGAACACCATCCCCTTCCATGCTCATAATTGTGGTTTCCCCAATGTGGCCTGACGGACAGAAGGTGAAATGTCTTGGGAGGAGAGCCCCGGTGCCTTGATTACAGACAACAGTGACGTCATATGTAAGGAGATATGTTGTGACAGTGCTGTCACTTGAAGTGACTTCATATTTCTAATAAACGTTCAGCTGAAAAATATGCAGAGAATGGAAAACACAGGTTATGCAACTGAGAGTTGTGACTTCCTGTTAAGCTTTACGGAGGAGGTGAGAACAGAACAGTAAGAGAGAAACTATACTGACACGCTCCTTTTTCAGTGTATCATTTCTTCTTTTGCTTTCACCACTATTCTGTACTGTGTCCTCCAGGATCTGTTTATTCTACCATATGCATGAGCAACGTAGAAAAATAACATTTTCCATATGGAAGGGACCTTAGAAACTATGAATAGGTACACAACAAAGATCCAGCAAAACTTGCTTTGTGAGACATTCTGTTGATGTGTATGTAGTCTCATTACCATGACTCTGGTAAAACTTAAGGCAATTAATTTTATGTCTTGGTCAACTTTAAAAATTGTACGAACAGTTTAACATTGAGTACCACGGCATTTAAGGCTTGAACTTTTTGTTACTTTCACTGATAATTATTTCCCTGTCTCTATCACAATTAGGTTAGATAAACTAAGTCTAAAAACTGCCTTGGCTGTAAAACAGTCCTGGCCCAGACTCAATTATAACAGCCACTTCCTGTATACCACATCTTGGCTCAGACCACAGCTTTCTTCAGAAACAATGTATTTTAAACATCAGGTTTGATCAGTTCTAAACTCTGGGGGAACCTCCTGTCTGTGGTGGGTCGAGCAGGAGGGAGAGGCATATCAAGAATGATACACATGAACACATTTTCTTTATATAAATCACTTTCTCTAGTTTAAAAACCTGTAACATGTATAACATGTTCTTTGCTGCCTGCGAAGAACTTCCTTTATGACAAGTGTACTTTTAAAAAATAAGAAATTTCCACAGGTTTTCATTGTACTGGTTTCTGTAATTATTTTTCCTCTGTTCTATTTCTCTGGACCTTTTACTGAAACTCCAACTTAGAGCACACCTTAAATGTTATCTTTAAACTATTTATCACTTTCACATGACAACAAAAAATAAACTGGGCCCCACTGCTACCTAAATACCTTCTTACATCTCTCTGTGAAGCCGAAAGTTTCTTTGAATCTCTGAAGTCAATTCAACCTTATTCAAGTTTGACAACTTCAGGTAAGTTTCTCAGCATTATTTAATCCAATACTTTTTTATTCTCTCAAATGCAATATTTCCCCTTCTTTTTAATCCAATACATTTTAAGTGCTTTTTCCTGTGCCTCAAGTCCTGAACTCTAACCCTGTCGCAGCTTCAAGAGCAGAGGAACAGCTGTTACATAGGTATTAAGTAAAAAGTGCAGATTCAAAGAAGAAAAAGGCCAGGCTCGATGGCTCACGCCTATAATCCTAGCACTTTAGGAGGCCGAGGAGAGAAGATCACTTCAGGCCCAGAGTTAAAAAAAAAAAACAACCTGGGTAACGCAGCAAGTCCCCATCTCTGCAAAAAACACAAATATTTCCTACACATGGTAGTATATAGTCCTCAGGGGGAAGAGACTGGCCGATCGCTTGAGTCCAGGAGGTAGAGGCTGTGGTGAGCTATGATCAAACCACTACACTCCAGCCTCAAGCAACTGGGCAACAGAGGCAGACTCTGCCTACAAAAAAAGAAAGAGAAAAAAAAATCTCAAACAAGGAAAAAAATAGAGGGAACGATGCTTGTATGGTATATTCTCAACACCTAGATTAGTGCCTGGCAATAATTGTGGCTGAGAAGGAAGGAAGGAAGGAAGGAAGGAAGGAAGGAAGGAAGGAAGGAAGGAAGGATGGATCTTCACAAACAAAAGTGTGAGCAGGTGTTACAGGTGAGCAGTACCACATGTGTGAAGACACAGAGACAGGAGAGTGTTGGAGACTTTAGGAGTTTGGACCAGGGCAGCAGGGGCCACACTTAGCCCCCGTATGAGTGCTCCTGCCAGGCAGGAGCAGCAGAGAGCTGTGGGAAGATCCTTCGTGGGAGGGGCAGAGTGAACCTTCAGTGGATGTGGGGCTGGGAGAATCCCTTTCTTAATATTTGCTCTGATATAGTTGTGTATTTAATTCCGAGACAAAGAATAGTGACTACTCTCCAGAAATTATCCTGAACTTTCCTCCTTTGGTTTGTGCAAAGAGTCGTAGACTTGAAGACACAGCATCTGTGTTCTTCCA